GACAAAATCATCTTTTGAAAATGTTCTCGGTTTCAAACCCCTATCATAATATTTCTTCTGTTTTACTGCAGCTTGTTCTAGATTCTAAATAATCTGTTGGAGCTGGTTGGTCTTGATAATTAAGTGCTGTCAATATCCTGCAGGTTGTTGCAGGATTGGACACAGGCTGAGCGTTGACTGGGGCCTGAAAATCATTAAAGTAAGATACAGCTGTGGATCCCAAAGTGTTGGTAAAGGCTGGTATAAATGTAGTCCCCTGCCAGTTTCCACAGTCTGCTCCAAAGGAGGATGGCTGATCATTGTTCAAGGTCTGTGGACAGCTGATTCCTGGAGGATTGGACAGAGCCTAAGAGTTAAATGGGACTTGCCAGTTGCCACAGTCTGCTACACAGGAGGATGACTGAGCATTGTTGAAGGTCTGTGTTCCGCTGAATCCCGGAGGATTGGACAGAGCCTGGATGCTGACTGGGACTGTATTGGTTCCTTGGGGGTTGAGGGAAGCCTATTTGATGCTGACTGTTGAAGGTTTGCTAATTGCATGGTTTGAAGCGGGTGAATTTAGGACGGCTGGGCTGAGACTTTCTAATTGTGTTGCAGGACTTGAGGCACTGTATGACAACGATGAAGAGTTGGTTCCTTAAGGGTTTAGGGAAGCTTGTTTGATGTTGGGTGTTGAATGGTTTCTAAGTGTGTGATTTGATGCAGGTGAATTCAGAGTGGCTGGACTGGGAGTTGCTAATGGTGATGCAGGACTTGAGGCACTGAATGACAACGATGATGAGGAGGAAGTGGTGAAATGGGAGAGGGTATGTGAAGATCAAGGTCCTCCTGGGTTAGGTATTGTCTGTCCAGTGAATAGCCCTGTCTGACTTCAGACAACACCTCTCTGACCAGTTTCTCCAGTTAATCTTGCCTTTTCAATATCCTCTGCAGTATTTCTGGTGGACCTACTTTCTCAGCTTCATCTGGATCCAAGATTTCACCAGTTTGTGAGGTAGTGTAGATTTTGATCTGCCTAAAGAACTCTTCCTGCATAACCACCAAGTCTTGCTGGTCCCCCGTCAAATGGTTAGAGAACCTTGGTCCTCTACTAGGACCGGATTTTGCTGTAGACAGATCTCCAGACCCCTCAAACTGAACCTGGATGGTCCTCCCTTTGCTTCCCTGAAAGAGTTTAATTTAACTATATATTTTTCCTACAGACAAAAGTGATCATATCAATATGCATTATGCACAGTACTTACTGAAACGAAGAACATTTACTCCTGGTTATACCCGCACTTTCTAAAGAAAGTTCGGGTATATTGTTGTTACTCATGTCCGGCCGTCCGGCCGTCTGTCACACTTTTCTTCCCTGAACTCCTCCTACATTTTACACAGAAGCTTAATCATCTTTTGGGAGATGGTTGGTGGTGTCATGTAGATGTGCAGTAAAGTTTCGGAATTTTGATTTTGCCCCGGGGGGTCAAATGGGGGTCGAAAAAATGACGTTTTTTGTGCAAAAAGTCCCGTCTTCCCTGAACTCCTTCTACATTTTACTCAGCAGCCTAATCACCTTTTGGGGGATGATTGGTGGTGTCATGTAGATGTGCAGTAAGGTTTCGGAATTTTGATTTTGCCCCGGGGGGTCAAATGGGGGTAGAAGAATGACGTTTTTTATGCAAAAAGCCCCATCTTCCCTGAACTCCTCTTACATTTTACTCAGCAGCCTAATCATCTTTTGGGGGATGATTGGTGGTGTCATGTAGATGTGCAGTAAGGTTTCGGAATTTTGATTTTGCCCCAGGGGGGCAAATGGGGGTCGAAAAATGATGTTTTTTATGCAAAAAGCCCCGTCTTCCCTGAACTCCTTCTACATTTTACACAGTAGCCTAATCATCTTTTGGGAGATGGTTGGAGGTGTCAGGTAGATGTGCAGTAAGATTTCTGAATTTAGATTTTGCCCCGGGGGGGTCAAATGGGGGTCGAAAAATAACGTTTTTTATACAAAAAGCTCCGTTTTCCCTGAACTCCTCCTACATTTTACTGAGCAGCCTAATCACCTTTTGGGAGATGGTTGGTGGGGTCATGTAGATGTGCAGTAAGGTTTCGGAATTTTGATTTTGCCCTGGGAGGTCAAATGGGGGTCGAAAAATGATGTTTTTTTGCTAAAAGCCCCATCTTCTCTGAACTCCTCTAACATTTTACTCAGCAGCCTAATCACCTTTTGGGAGATGGTTGGTGGTGTCATGTACATGTGCAGTAAGGTTTCGGAATTTTGATTTTGCCCCAGGGGGTCAAATGGTGGTCAAAAAATGACGTTTTTTATGCAAAAAGCCCCGTCTTCCCTGAACTTCTCCTACATTTTACAGAGTAGCCTAATCATCTTTTGGGAGATGGTTGGTGGAGTCAGGTAGATGTGCAGTAAGGTTTCTGAATTTAGATTTTACCCCGGGGGGTCAAATGGGGGTAGAAAAATAACGTTTTTTATGCAAAAAGCCCTGTTTTCCCTGAACTCCTCTTACATTTTACTCAGCAGCCTAATCATCTTTTGGGAGATGGTTGGTGGGGTCATGTAGATGTGCAGTAAGGTTTCGGAATTTTGATTTTGCCCTGGGGGGTCAAATGGGGGTCCAAAAATGATGTTTTTTATGCTAAAAGCCCCGTCTTCTCTTAACTCCTCTTACATTTTACTCAGCAGCCTACTCACCTTTTGGGAGATGGTTGGTGGTGTCATGTAGATGTGCAGTAAGGTTTCGGAATTTTGATTTTGCCCCAGGGGGGCAAATGGGGGTCAAAAAATGACGTTTTTTATGCAAAAAGCCCCGTCTTCCCTGAACTTCTCCTACATTTTACACAGTAGCCTAATCACCTTTTGGGAGATGGTTGGTGGTGTCAGGTAGATGTGCAGTAAGGTTTTAGAATTTAGATTTTGCCGCGGGGGGTCAAATGTGGGTCGAAAAATGACGTTTTTTGTGCAAAAAGCCCTGTCTTCCCTGAAGTCTTCCTTAATGTTACTCAGAAGCCTAATCATCTTTTAGGAGAGTTAAATATTTGAAAATTATGTAAAACATCAACGTTAAGGGGTAAAAAAGCATCGCATGCTGGGAAACACCTTGAATTCTTATGAGTAATTAATGTCCATGTCAAATGTGAGAGTCATATCTCATCTCAATCAAAAGTTATAAGCAAATGCAACATTTTTGAAAAGTAGGTTAGGCTTGACCGCTTCAAGGTCAAGGTCACAGAGTAAAAGTCATCGCAGTACAGTTAAGGCAACATTTTCTATAAAAACTCACGGAATCCGATACATATAATGTTTAACAGTTTTATTTTTTAGCAAGACATTCTAGTTAAAACAGCTATTTGTGATCTTGAAGAGTATGTCCATCGCTTTTCACATCGATATTTTTTGACATCATGTGACCCCCTGAAGTCACGTGGGCTCCGATTTTAGGTCAAAAAATGAAATGTCAAATTTAACCAAAAAGTGCAAGGGCAAGACAAACAAAAAATTAACTGCACAATGTTTTATGTTGTCTCTATATATCTATACTTTCTCAAAAGTGATGCTCATTCAGTTAGTTTTCCGATATAATTAAGTTATTCAGCTAAAACAGAAAGTAATGTATGAAAAATAGGATATTTTCCTAATTTCATCACGAATTATAAATTAACTAAAGAATTACAAAGTAATGAGCATCACTTTTTGAAAACTATACAATAAAATAAATAATTTAAAATAAAAACCTACTTTTTAGATTGTCGCCTTGCCCTTGCACTTTTTGATTAAAAAATGAAATCTTGGAAGAGTCAATCTAATTATAGTTTTCAAACGCATCACTGACCCAGCATGGGAGATAACTCTGGAGTTCTTGATATAGCTTGTTTACCTCGTAATTTTAAAATGAATATACATGCGGGCAGGACTTGACTCTTTTTCTTTACTAAATCAAACGGTATGCATAAAAATCCTTGACATTTCTTTCTTTTCTGTGTATTCGTTCTCCATACGTTGTATACATTTAATGTCTTTCAAACCTCCCGCATTTCTTCAACGATGTGTATATAACGTTACACGTAGTATTTCACACAAATAGGTATAAATATTGCCGATATATTTATGTAGAACACAAATGGTTAATTAAAATATAGCCTTCATTAATAATTAATTAGATAACTATTCCCCTCTCTCACTACTGTACGCATAGGCGTCGAAACCGGGGAGGAGGGGGGGGGGCTTAGCCTGCCTACTTAATATTTGCAAATTATATACATAATGTAGGCATTGGAATTTGCCTTTTTCTTTTGGATTAACCCCCCCCCCTTCAATCAGCCCCCTTTCATTTTGCTTCCGACGCCTATGGTACACACACTTGTGTTATTATTTTTTTTCTTTCTGCATACGAGGTCATGTTCTACGATCGCTTTCAATCAGACTGCTTACTGTTAATTAAGGGATATAAACTAAGTTATACGTTTAAGGTACTAATTAGAAAGAATTGGGGTATACTCCTGTATTTGTTAAGGGGACAGCTATTTTATTTTGAGGGTGAGGGACTGGCAGATTTTAAAAATAATTACTTGCAGATCAGTGATCTCCCCCTCCCACGAATCGGAGGTTTTTTTTACATTTTTTTTTTTTTTTTTGCATGTAGGATTTTCAATGAAGAGGAAAATAAATAAATAATCTGTCCTTCATCTTATTGATCGGAAATAAATATTAATCTGTCCTTCATTGACATGAAAATGAAAAAAAAATCTGACTTGGAAAAACTCGCCTGCCCCCCCCCCCCCCCAAACAAATGATGGTCCCCTATCCTATTTTGAAACAATTAGGGGGATCTCTAGTCTCCTGGTTTTGGTAATATTTTTGAAAGATAAATGAACACAATGCACATGCTGGAAATAAGATCTTGATGATCATTAGTACCCTCCTTACAAAATAGTAATAAAGTTAAGATTTTCATATCTTAATGGCCTTTTCAACACCTGTACAGTTAAAATATGAAAAAGTCAAATTATTATTTATCTAGAAAATTTATTTAATAAACATTTCTTTTCAAATCCAATGACAGACTGTAGGAATGCTGGGCAGGTGCAAATTATTTCCATCACCTCATGTTCTTGTGGATAAAATGAATTCTGAAAATAGGAGAAAATCAGGAAATACCATTATTGAAAGTAATTTGTGTTTAAAAAATTTAATAAAAAAATAGAATTTACATACATGTGTAACGTGAAGCGGTCACCCATCCAAGGGTTAAACAGGCTCGCCGTTGCTTAACTTGCCTGAAATAGAGGGAGACTCTACCGCATCACCAGAAAAGCTAGCTCACTGGCGAGGCAGTATAAGTTCCCTATATACTATCCGCTACACATGTTTTCAATTCTTCTGTTAGTTTTATTATCAAAACTTTGTATGGTTTATAGCTTATATTGAGCATACCATTTTCCTTAAATGATGGATTAACTTGCTGCCTGAATGAATCCATTTTCCAACATCTGGGAATTGCTAGGCCTACAACACAATATATATGCAGTTATATGCTATGAGATTACTAAATATACATTGTAGGATAAAATGGCATTACATTTGACATAACAAATTATGCTACATTGTATATTGTAGTGAATTTATGTTATTGATATAAATGAAAAAAAAAATAAATTACAAAACTTCTCTGGGAAAGTGAAACCTCTGACATTTACAATAGTTATTGATAGAAATTTTCTATAAAAAAATTTCTAAGTTTCCCCTTTACCAAAATGAAAAAAAAAAACAATATGTAAAGCACATGCAAACTTTGAAAATGTGAAATGCTTTAGAAGTATACATACCCTGTGGAGAAATGATGCATTTTTTATTTATTCACTCTTTACGCCTGAAACTCTGGACAGCTACAATGATAAAAGTATTATACAAATATTTTTAATGTACATGTAATCTAAACAAAAAATGAATTTTTTTCATTAATTTAGAAATTCTAGAAAATTACAACCATTGATCTGAAGTGGGGCTTTTATGTTTTCAACACAATGTTACGGATATTTTTTTTTTAATTGTGTAGCATATTTGTATGTCAAAATACATCATTGTTTGTTTAGGCCTAGTCACTAGTGAATCATTGACTGAAACAATGAAAACATCTCATTCAATTTAAATTTGTGTTACAGATGATCTCCATTATTACACATATTGTCTCAAAGAAAATGAGCTAATTGACAGGAACTCAGTACATATTTAGTGCAGTTAATTTTTAATAATTCTAAAAAGTGTGCAACGTACTTAGTATAGGAGGGGGGGGGTTGTTACACACAAGGCACTGCATAATTAGGCTACAGTTTTTCACTGACTGTACTAATACATTTAAATGAACATGAACACACTCGGGTTTTTTTTATGTTAACAAAAGCATGTCTACATATTGTAGATCTACACATGTACCTATACATATGCGTATACATACCTGGCCTGGAATTACAGTGCAGTGATTGATCTACGGAGCTTGAACTGTTGCAAATCGTCTCAGTTTTCTGCTATTTTCCGAAATATTGTCCTCATATTCTTGTAAAATGGAGAAGCAATGCCTTGTCTCTTATTTTATCCCTATTTTCTTTAAAGATTGTGTGGTTATTGCATTTAAATCCAATGCAGCTGCTGTCGCCACGTTTTTAGATGTAAACAACATTCCGTGTCACCGAGTGCAAGCGCTTGGCTGAAGCCGAATGCAGACAAACGACACATTAAAAAGAGAATTATTTTAAAGACATGCTATTTTATATACAAGAAAATCACTAATTATTTTCTATTTAAACATGAAGATATTGTTGTTTATTACAAATTGTTGCCAATATCGGTAAATAGTTATTTTGAGCACCATTTCCTTATATGGATCAATCAGGGCGGAGCAACTGTCATGACGTCAGACCTCATTATGACTTCATTACCATATTTTTTTTTCATGTGTTGCCTTAACTGTACTGTGATGATTTATTTGGAAAGGTCTTATCACAGGTAATAATATACATGCATTATTATATGAATGCCCTAACTTTTCTCTTTCAAAATGATGAATTTATAACAATTTAATTTCTTTGCAAGTAGGTCAAACTTCTAGATCACATGTAAAAAAAAAAAAAAAAAAAACCATGCCATTCTCACAGGTAAATACTAATACATAAGTTTAATATGAATGTCTCTTCTCATTCATTAGAAATGACCGTGATGACCAAGGTTAAATTTATTTGAGACAGATGGACAGTCTGACATACAAATGTACATATTTCTATATGAATTGGGTAAAATTGGCCCAGTGGTTCTAGAGAAGTTAAAAATGTAAAAAGTTTTCAGACAAACAGATGGACGACACGTCACGACAGACGTTATATGCTAAGGAAACCAGAAAAGCTCAAATGAGTGTTTTGAAAGGGTTACAATATGGTTGCAGTATTTGAAAAGCTGTTTTTTTCATGCAGAGATATGCATGACCAACATATTCATGTTTTATATTTTCTTTAGTAATTTGTTTGTTTGTTGTGAATACATCTCTCTTGGGAATTTTTCCCTCATATGGAGACACCACCAAATAATAATGAAGACAAGATGTGTTTGTGAAACACTGATGTCCCTGTATGGAACCCTATGGCAAAGGTTGAAGTTTCTCAAATATATGTCAAACTCAAAGGTCAAGGTCAAAGGGTTCAAATTGTTAGTATCAGAAGAAAGTCTTGTCACAAGGAATGCACATGTGAAATAAAGAAATCCCTAGTAATTCCTGTTCAAAAGTTAATTGCCAAGGTTAATTTTTTTTTTAAGTGGTTCAAACTCTAGGGTCAAGGTCAAACACATTTACACCTGTTGACAGTTCACAATGAATACACATGTTAAGCATGAAAGCCCTAGCACCTACTGATCAAAATTTAGGCCAAGTTTAAAGTTTGGTATTTTTCTTGTAAAAATGTGTATCCTAGGTCAAGCGATCAGAGGTAAAAATTAATGGTACCCAAATAAAAGGTCTTAATTGTCACAAGAAATAAACCTATAAAATGTGGAAGCCATTTGTATAGCCCATCCCACTTAAAACTTATGGGCAAGGTTATAATTTCTGCAGACAAATAGACAGACATAATATAAACACAAGAAACAAAATATGTATAATTAGTCAAATGGAAAAAAAATATACTATTTAACTGGAATCACAAAATAGATTGTTATTTAAGGGACAGGGACTGGGTAGGGAGATTGGAATCCCCCCATCCCCCCCCCCCCCCCTGGAATTTGCTTTGTTATTTAAACAAGACTATATACTGAAGCAAGTAAAAAATGACTTTGGACATCCTCCCCCTATCTTAGAAAACATTGACCACACTATCATTGTTTTTATTTTGTTTATTTGTTTTCAGTTTTTTTTTCTCCTGCTTGTCAGGAAATTCTGGGCTGGAATTTTTTGACTGAGATGTGAATCCCCCTCCCTACTCCCGAAAAAAAATTCTGGATCCGCACCAGTATTGGCAGTAACTGAATGTCACATCGACAACGGGAGATAACTTCACAATATGAAATTCGTCTAGTGTGGCATGCGATGATCTTTGACCCTTTTTGAACTTTAACCTAATCGTTTGGGTTTATTTTACCCCCCACTATACTTAAACTTGTACTTACCGACTGCCATAAGTCTCGTCAACTTCATGAAATATAAATCCAATTATAACACAAAATGAATTAATCCAATGCACACCAGACTGCAGCCATGTGCTAATTCCATTCGGCAAACCTTCGTCGATTCCGTCACCTTATCAGATGAAGTGGGAATCGGCCGAGGTGTGCCAAATGGTGTTTAATCTAAAAATATGATAATGGGTGACGCAACGTGATGTGATGTAGAAATTTACATGTTAACATGTATAGTACAAGAACAAATTTTAAATTAATTCATAACAAACGATGTTTTAACAAAACTTTTCCATCTAGCCTATTCCAACAAAAAGTATGTGCTGTGTGATTGTGGTGTCGAGGGGGGGGGGGGGATTAGTAAATTTAAAAAGGTCCTATTATGAGCAAAACATTTATCAAAATCTAATTTACATCATTAATAGAATTCAAACTGGTATATAATGAATTCAGCATGTAAAATAAATATAAGAGGTTCTGAGTTATAGGTCACAGGGTCTGAGAATTTCATACTCAATTTGATAAATACATGTAAATTATAGAATTATTTTGACTTTTTCCTTGGAAAGCCGCCCAATATGTAGGAGCGTGTATTTAGAGGCAAACACCTTAGTGCGGGTATTACTGTCTCATGACAGCATCTAGTAATTTAAAAAGAAATCTTAATGTTGAATGATGTAATGTCAGAAGTCAGTGTAAAATTGAAAAGTTTAAACCGTTTTCCCAACCAATCCTTAAAGGGGAGAGGGTATGAGTTGAACAAACTTGAATCTACATAAGGATGCTGGCATATTTCTTTGACTACCTGTGGCTTTATTGCCCTTTACATTTGAACTTGCATTGTGCCCCCCCCCCCCTTGCTCAATTATACCATCATTGTGATTTGAAAAAATCTCAATTAAGACCCTAACTGAGGATCGATGCTTCCATGTAAATGTGATCAATCATAGCTTTGCTGTTCTTGAAATATTTTTCCTATATAAAACTTGAAATATTACATAGAATAATTTTCAGTAATTACATCTTTTATCAAAAGAATACTGTATTTTAACAAGAGGCCAATGGGCCACACCGCTCACATGAGTAGCTTTGACCATGCTGTTCTTCACCAGATTTCCCCTTTGTAATACCTATTTTAACCCAACCCTACCCCATGGGTCAAAATTTGGTTAATTTAAAATCTACACTAATCAACACTATGCTTTCGCATTAGTATTATTACCTTCTTTGGCCAGGTAGTTCCTAAGAAGATTTTTAAAAATCTTTCCTATATAGTTCGGTATAACACTTGGAAAGTTCAATTCCAAATTGTGGTCCCGCCCAACCCTCAGGGGTCATGATTTGAACAATTTAGAATTTACACTACCCAAGGATGCTTCCACGTAAGTTTCAGCTTTTCTGGCCCAGTGGTTCTTGAGAAGAAGATTTTTTTAATGAGCCCACCCTATTTGTGTCTGTTTTTGATTATCTTCCCTTTTGAGGAGACTTGGCCCTTCAGTAATTAAAACTTCTATTTAGGCAGTGGGTTAAAGATCAAACAGTTTAATCATAGTGGGAGTTGAACTTGTATATATAAAAACAAGAGGCCCGCGGGCCTTATTGGTCACCTGAGTATCATGTAACAACTTTCCAACAATTGATTTGGTTCGTGTTTTAAACCAGACGCCAAGAAATTCACAATTTTAAAAAAGGCACCATTCCTTATCATAATTATAACCTTGGCATGCTTACGCTATTTACTTCATACCCAGAGGTAGATCAGAGTAACAAAGAGAAAATGCGCTTCCATTTTATAACCAGTTGTGCATCCCACCCAAAAGGAACCACTGACTCTTGAGCCACATATTTCAAAATTTTGGAAATTTTATAAATTTTATTTCATCACAAATGGTTGATTAATACCAAAGAGCAGATTTCAAAGCATAAATTTATTTTCAGACTTTGTAATCCTCCACCTCCCCCCCCCCCCACCCCCTCTGATACCTCTGACCCAGGGGGTATGAAATTAACCGTTTTGCTAGATGCACCTTTCTCCATCATAAATATATATACTTGGATTATTAGCATATAACCCAGGAGCAAAGGAAGAGATTTTCAAAGAATTAATGTATTATTACTATATAATCAAAAGAGCCCCCCTTACACCAAATGGCAAAACCTCCGACACAGGGGCCATGAAATACACAAATTTTGTTGAGGCATTATAACTTTATATTAAATTAGTTTATTTATTACCATTATTATGACCAGAGAAGAAGATTTTGAAAGAATTAATGCATTTTCACACTATATTCAACAGAGCCGTGCCCTAACACCATAACTCCTGACCCTGGGGCCATAAAATTCACAATTTTGAAAGAGGCATTCTTGCTCATCATTATTATGTACTTAGTTTATTTAATACCCAGGAGCAGAGGAGAAGATTTTAGAAGAATTAATGCATTTTCACTATATCATCAGTACAAAAATCTACATGTACTCACAACAAGAGGCCCATGGGCCTTATAGGTCACCTGAATATCATGCAACAACTTTCCAACAGTTGAATTTCATTCATATTTTAAAACCAGAGGCCATGAAATTCACAATTTTGAAAGAGGCACCATTGTTTATCATAATTATGCACTCAGCATGCTTACTTTGGTTAGTAATACCCAGAGGCAGATCAGAGTAACAAAGAGAAAATGCGTTTCCAATTTATCATTATCAGTTGTGCACCCCATCCCACAGTAACCATTTACCCTGGGGCCACATCTTTCAAAATTGTGGAAATTTTATAACTTTTATTTCATCATGTTGTTGATTAATAACAAAGTGAATATTTCATACCATTAAATTATTTTCAGACTTTGTACCCCCTCCCCAAGTAACTCTGTCCCAGGGCCAGGAAATTAACCATTTTGGAAGAAGCAGCTATCTTCGTCATAAAAATATACTAAGATCATTGTATCTTCGTCATACATATATACTAA